CCAGGCTGGAGTGCAGTGGTGCAATCAGCTCACTGCAGCCTTGAACTCCTGGACCTAAGCAATCCTCCCACTTCAGCCTCCCGGTGCACAGCACTGTGCAGCTTATGTTTTTACTTTGTAGAGATGAGGTCTGTATTGCTCAGGCTTGTCTCGAACTTCTGGCCTCATGTGATCTTACCACCTCCATCACCCAAAGTACTGGGATTAAAGATGTGAGCCACTGCACCTGGCCTCTTTTCATCATCCCAGATGTTCTCTGTATCACTAATTTTCTCTGCGCATTCCAACTTCCTCTATATACTTATCCAGAAAAGTTCTCCATTGACAGTCCTCCGTTTTACAATCCAGGGTATAAGGGACGGAGTGAGCAGGGAGGGAAGGGGAAGACACTCACAGAGATGGCAGCCACCAGCTATGACTGTGTGTCTCCTGACCTCCCTGCGGTGTCTGGTACAGGATCAGCAGGGGGCTAGGGAAGCAAGCTGGGTGGGCCAGCATGACTGATTCCTGGGGTACAAGTAAACTGGAGTCCCCTGTCACCTGTCAGAGTAGCTAGAACCAGGTGCTCCTAGCACCTACCTCACTGCAAGTCCTGTGTCCCCACTGCCTCCCTCCCTCTTGTCATCAGCTAAGAGCTGGCACTTACCAAGACATACACGGCCTTCTCACAGGCAGCCCCAACAGGTACCCAGCCATTAGTGCGGCGGCGACGGCGGCGGCGAGGGCGTGGGCGCTGGACACGTGGCTGCTTGGGGTGACTGGGCCTGCGGGCTGCCTTGCTCCTTGCAGTGTGCCTGCAGCTGGAGCCCGTGCGCAGACCTGACTTAGAACCACTGGGTGGTTTGGCGCTCTGAGGGCACGCACGGGCTACTGTCTGAGGCTCCGAGGTGGGTGTCTGAAGATGGGGGACAGGCTCTGCTGCAGGTGGTACACTGGGTACAGGGCATCCCAGGAGTGGGTGGGCGGGTGAGGCTGGGTGGCCAGCTTCTGGGAGAGGAAATTCCAACTGGCTCAGGGATCTGCAGCCTTCTAGGAAAGGGAGAGAGTGGGTCAGGACAGGACCCCCATCAGCCATCTGTTTCAGAGCCTGCTCCTGTCTTAATTCTAAGTGTGCAACCAAAGGCCAATGAGGTGGCCAATGGGATCAGAGGCCTTTTTATGGTGGACTGTCAGAGTGACTCTCTAAGGGGACAGGGGTGTTTCCTGATCTTGGAGATTGGTCATCTCCCCTTTTAGTCTGAAAGAGAGGTAGTTGGAACATCCTTTTTAACTTTCTTTTTTTTTTTTTTTTTTTTGAGACAGTCTCGCTCTGTTGCCCAGGCTGGAGTGCAGTGGCTCTATCTTGGCTCACTGCAACCTCCGCCTCCCGGGTTCATGTATTTCTCCTGCCTCAGCCTCCTGAGTAGCTGGGACTACAGGTGCCCACCATCACACCCAGCTAATTTTTTTGTACGTTTAGTAGAGATAAGGTTTCACCACGTTAGACAGGCTGGTCTCAACCTACTGAGCTCAGGCAATCTGCCCGCCTCAGTCTCCCAAAGTGCTAGGATTACAGGCATGAGCCACCGCGCCTGGCCCTGATATTAATTTTCTAAGGCTTTCATAATGCTTGAGAATAGGGGTTCTGGAATCAGACAGCCTGGGTTCTGCCACTTACTAGCCATGTGACTTCAGGCAAGTCACTTAACCCTCAGAGCAATATAAATAGTAGTTACAAATATCACATACATTTGGTAACTGGTTGGTTTTTTTATGAACACATTAACTCATTTCATCCTTACAAAACCCCTACGCAGTAGGTATCATTACCCCCATTTTATAGTTAAGAAAACTGAGACACAGAGCAGCTACTGACTTGTCCCATAGTCACATGGCTAGGGAAGTGGGGGAGAACATTCTACTCCAGGCAGTCTGGCTCCAGAGTCTGTGCTCAATTACGTGGCAAGCAGCCTCCCATATGTAAAGCACTTAGAACAGTGCCTGGTACGTGGTGTTTACTGGTGTCCTTATTATTAGGGGGAGAGGATGAGGGTCTAGACTTGGGGAATGGCACAAAAAAAGAAGGAAAACCCTCAGCAGCAGCCTGTTCTCATGTCACAAGAACTCTAACTCAAGCCACAACCTGAAATAACCAGTCTGGCCAGGGCCAACTGGTCTATAAAGTTGTTTTATAGACCCCTACAAGGAAGGACGTGGGGGGAAGGGAGATCTGGAAGGTTCAGCCCTCACCTCCCCAGCAGCAGGCCAGACCTGCTGGCCAGGATGTCTCCTTTCCACCCAGGAGGCAGGCAGGGAGCCTGGAGAGGCAGGTGAGGATACCTCTGCCAGTTTAGGGAAGAGAAATGATTCTGGGAGTGTCTCAACAGCCGGAGCATGGGCAGGTGTCTGGGTCTTGTCAGGCAGGCAGACACCAAAGCTGTGGGCGCTGATTGCATTCCATCCACATCAGGGAACTCTGTTTGTCTGTTCTCACGGTGTACCCTCTCTATCCACACCCAGCAAAGTGATGCTCAGTCTGGGCACTTCTTTTTCAAGGCCTGTATAGCCAGGGCAAAGCTGCCCTGTGCAGTAGGTACCACCTACTGAGCCTGGTACCTACCACTCTTCCCATGAATACTGAACTTCACCTGCATGCAGAGAGTACTGGTTTCTAGAAAGTAAGGGATTCTAGCTTTCCTTGAGGAGAGCAGAAGGGCCAGGCCATTAGAACAGTTTGGTAAAAGTCCTAATTCCAATAACTAACCTGCTATTCAGAGTCTAAGAAGTAGTATCCCAGGATGAGGAGGGAAGAGAGGCCTTCCTGTGGCCTGTACCACTGCAATGCTACCTAACTGCCAGGCCAAGAATCTCCACAGGCAGCCTGGGAAGAGCAAGGCTGTCCACAACTACACATGGGGCCCTGTTCTTGGGAATGCTCCTCTGCTTGGGGCACAGACTACGGGAGTTCTCGCTTCTGAAAGCCCCTACCTTCCAGTTAGCAGCCAGACCCCAAGGGAGACCCCTGCTCAGATCAACGGCCCAACCTCCTGGGATGCTGTGTCTCTGAGACTCCTCAGTATATCCCGGACCCAGGAAGCCTCACCTGCTGCAAAAGGCATTTTGTATGGGCAGCCGCCACAGGTAGTGCCAGCGCGGGTGACAGACAGGGGCAACACTCCGCAGATGCTGTAGCCATTCACTCCAGTGTCCTCACTAGAGCAGTAGCGAGAGGGGCCCCAGGGAGGGTGCTGAAAAGGGGTGCCTGAGGGCACTGAGCTCGGGGCTAAGAGGAGCCCCTCTTCTTGAGGTGCAGCCACTGGGGATAGCTTGCCCTCAGGGAGCATGGGGCAGGGCGAGTAGCCCCCACACTGCAGCCCCTCTTGGCCACAGTACAGGTAGAAGCTGCCTAGTGCAGTGAGCTCGGGCCCAACACATAGGCCACTATAGTCGGCGGGGTTGCCAGGCATCGGCAGCGGAGACAGCTGAGGTGTGGGGAACGAGGGCTGATGCAGTTCCTGCTTAGGGGCAGGTGACTCCTCGCCTGGGCGCCCAGGCTCTGGCTTCAGAGCCGCCTGTCCACCCATCAGTAGGGGTAGGTGAGGGCGCAGCCCCAAAGGGCTCTCCAGAGCCTTGCTCAGGGGCTGATGAGATGGCTGGACGGATGGTCCGCGAGGAGTTGTAGATGGCCATGACTCATCAGGGCAGCCTTGCCAGCCGGGTGGGCCTGCAGCCTCCCCAGAGCTGGCCCCCTGCCAAGCCTTGGGATAGTTCTTGCCATTGACCTTGGGCCACTTTGGCCTCAGGGCCTTGGGTGCTGGGGGCTCAGTGGAGCGCCCATCTACTTCTGCATGGGCACGAGGCAGACGCAGGGGTAGCTCCCGCTCCTGGCTCAGCTTTAGGAAAGCAGCTGCGTTCAGGCTAGCCAGTCTCTTGGGAGCTGGGTCTCCATCTCGGCGGGGACCTTCATCTGGTGCTGGCTCTGGAGACAGGTCCCGACTTCCTCCTCCAAGGTCCCCCAGCCGGGGCCGCTTCTTGGAGGAGGACCAGCCCCCAGTAGCACGATCACGGTCACGGCTGCGGTGGGGATCCCCCGCTCGGCTGCGGCGGGTGCCTGCCAGGCTGCTGGTGTCCTCTCGCTCCAGCAGCAGGTTATTGAGAGCTTCAGCATTGAGGGAGGCCAGGCGCCGCTTGCGGGGCTGGGCAAGGCCAGGGTCCTCACTGGATGGGGCTGGGCTGGGGGGCTTGGGCAGGTCAGGCGGTAGCTCATCAGCCTCATCTGCACTCCGGGGACCGGCCACATTCTCCAGGCGAGTCAGCAGCACTTTGCAGGCCTTGGGCTTCTCAGGAACCAATGGGCGCTTACGAAGTGGGTAGTTCTTGCGGCGCCCTGTGAGGTGACCTGGGCTCTCAGGCATGCCTGGCTCCACACCCTCAGCCCCCTGCTCCATGTTGCTGTCTTCCATCTGCAGGGGCTCTCGGCGGCCACTGGGGCCCGAACTCAGCATGGGAAGAGACTTTCTCCGAGTGTGTGTCATGGAGTACTTGCAACCTGCAGGAAAGAAGGTGGGCAATGAGAGAAGCCCTCTCTGGCCTGCCCCTGCCTGCTTTCTCTCCCACTGCAGCCTACCCAGCCCCAGGTGCAGTGACCCTGGCCTCCAGTTATGGGTTTTCCCAGGACTCCCCTTCCAGAGTGTGAAGGTGCAGTGGAATCAGGCTACCAGCAGCTGTGCAAGGACTGGTTCCCCCCTCTTTCCTTTTAGCCTAGGGTTATCTCTGAACTAAGCCCCTGAAAAGCCTAGGGAGCAACGCAGACCCCAGGGACAGGGGACAGGAGGAGCTGGTGGCAAAGCTCTTTGTTTTCTTTCCGTCCTTCTCTCACTAGATACTCATCACTGGATAGGAGGAGGCTCTGAAGACAGAGCCTCCCAAGATGGCGGCTTGAGTGGTAGGAGTCCATCTATTCTTTATTATTTTTATTATTATTATTTGAGAGACGGAGTCTCGCTGGAGTGCAGTGGCGAGATCTCAGCTCACTGCAAGCTCCGCCTCCCAGGTTCATGCCATTCTCCTGCCTCAGCCTCCCAAGTAGCTGGAACTACAGGCGCCCGCCACCATGCCTGGCTAATATTTTTTTGTATTTTTAGTAGAGAGGGGGTTTCACCATATTAGTCAGGATGGTCTCGATCTCCTGACCTCGTGATATGCCCGCCTCAGCCTCCCAAAGTGCTGGGATTACAGACGTGAGCTGCTGCGCTTGGCCAGGAGTCCATCTATTCTTTCAAAAGTATAACCAAGGCATTAACAACCCCTTCCCCAAACACAGGGCTTCTGAGGTTGGCCACAGGAGGATAAGAAGACAGATAGTGAAGAGTTGAGATGGGGAACCTGCCTGCTGGGCCATGAAGAAGGCAAAGTCAGTCTCTGAGGACTCCTCCCCTGGCACATAAAGCAAGACCGCCACAACCTGGGTCTGGCTGGAAAAGCTCTATCAAGGGTGAAGGCCTGGCTTTGAGGGGCCCATGGTGGAGAGGTCTCAGCTTTGAGGGGCCCATGGTGGAGAAGTTTCATTTGAACTTCAGTTCAAATTCCAGGCAAGAGCAGCCCAAAGGGTGCCAGTACCTAGGGCAAGGGTAACAGTATGGCCGGGATCAGCATATTCCTGGGGATAGAGAAAACCCAGGGGCTGCACACTAGACCTGCCAAACCGCTTTAAACCCCTGCCGGCCACAAAGAGTTGGGAAAAGAAAGTATCAAAGAGAAGCACTAACACAGGAGACAAACACGCTGCCTTGCTAGTTGTGCTCAGTTCTCCCTCTTTGTAGGCAGGGGCAGGATGCAAGGAGGTGGGGAAGAGTCTCAGGGAGCCCAAAGCCCCTGACAGGAAATGCATATGACCAGGCATCATCCCCTAACTTTGCTTGGCAAAACACTCCAACATACACCTGCGGCAGCCTGAGCCCCAGTTCTGAGTGAGAGGCCAGAGCTGGCTGTGCACTGGAAGCTGGCAGAGCCAAGGCAATGAAGAACTGCAGGGGGCGGTGGTCAGAGACTGCAGAGCTGTTCACTTCCTACCACTCAACCCAAAGCACACGGGCTGGCAAGTAAGGTGCCAGACAAGTTCTGTCCCTCACCAGGCACCCCTGCAACCCATCCCCACCCAGCAGGCCCAGGCTTTTCAGCTTAATTTCCCCACTGCTATTGTTGTTCACACTCATTCTACAGAGGAACTGAGAGCAGTCCCTGCTGGGCCAGGATTTAACCCTGAAAGTCCCAAGCCTGAGGGCTCCCAGGCATTCCTGAATCTTCCCCTGTTAGCTCCCATGGCCTTGGGCCAGTGGGTGGGGTCACTGGACACCTCCACTCCAGAGACATGCTGCATTAGTTGAGAAAGAGTTCTCAGAAAACCAGGCTGAGTGTGGCGTGGGCAACCCTCACCCCTGAGAAAGGACACGGAAAACTGGAAAGGAGAGGCAGCATGACAGGCTTTGCTCTGGCCACGTGCGGGGACTTGCCACTGCTCAGAGACCAGACCCCGGGCAAGACAGAGTCACAGAAGGCAAATCCATTCATTCCTGAAGCACAGACGGAGAGCTCCTAAAAAATCCCAGGCATCTGCTAGGTTCCATAAGTCTCTTTCCTGCTTGCAATCAGGGTGACCACCCGTCCCTGTCTGCTCAGCAGGCTTCCTGGCAATGCCGGGCGTGGTGGCTCATGCCCGTAATCCCCACACTTTGGGAGGTCCAGGCGGGTGGATCACGACGTCAGGAGATCAAGACCATCCTGGCTAATATGGTGAAACCCCGTCTCTACTAAAAATACAAAAAAAAAATTTAGTTGGGCATGGTGGCACGAGCCTGTAGTCCAAGCTACTTGGGAGGCTGAGGTAAAAGAATCACTTGAACCCTGGAGGTGGAGTTGCAGTGAGCCAAGATCGTACCACTGCACTCCAGCCTGGGCGACAGAGCGAGACTCTGTTTCAAAGAAAATAAAATAAAATAAAATAAAATAAATAAAATAAAATAAAATAAAAAAAAATAAAAGCATCCCATTGCTTATAACCCACAGCCCCTTCTCTCATATCCAGGCACCCCTGTACTGGAGGTGGAGAAGCAAGCAATGAGAAGCAGCAGAAGCACATCAGTATTTCCTAGGAAGCCCAGGTCCAGCCCTCTCCAATTCCCAAGAGGCCTGGAGATGATGGATGAGTGAACAGACGATGCATCTGAGCAGGGACCAAAGCCCCTCAACAGGCCCCAAGTTACCAGAGGGGCTGGGCCTAGGAACGGCTGGGAGCTAAAGTGGAGATCACCTGGGCTTGTGGTCTTTGAGGAAAAGGACACGAAGTACAAAGTGAGGAGAAGGCAGTTGGGAAAGACAGCACAGGGAGGTGCTGTCAGGCCTGACTAGTGGAAGCGTTCTTAGCAGGGGGATGACTGGCCACCCCTGACCTCCAGTTTGCTGGGAGACTGGCTGCATGGGCAGATGGTCGTCGATCTTGGGATGGTTGTCCCCACTCAGTCTTCCCCTCTCAACACACAGAGGTCCCAAGCACGGAGAGGTGGGAAAGAAGTCAGTGCCTTGACTACACAGCTTCCACTTTCAGGAGTCTGAGCCCAGAGCCTTTGAGAATCTGTTCCCTGTGGACTAATGTTGCTCTTTAACCTCTCATTCAGCTTTCCAGTCCCTCAGGGACATCCACTGCTCCCCTGGGGGGTAGGGTGCTGACGATCCTGGGAAGCCTCTGAATCACAGGGTGCGAGTCACATTTCCAAATCGAGCGGAACAGCCTCCTGCTAGCCTCCCTAAAATCTGCCAAATCCTCTGTCACTCGCTAAAAACACCCAAAGCCATCAAAAGCACATCACAAAACAACTCCTAGCTTTCCTGTGGTGCAAAGTCCAGCCACTCAGCATCCTAAGGAGAGGCTGGGGTCTCTGCTGCCTGCCTCTCGCTGCACTCCAATCTGGGGAGAGCGTGTGTGAGTCATGCTTTGAAGGCAGACAAAGCAGCAAGAAGCTTGGCTGCAACTTTTTCCCTGGGGTGGAGCTGGGCGGAGGGGCTACAAGCCTGCCAGGGCCCCTCCAACCCACACGGGACGGCCCAGCTACAGGGCTGGTTGGGGAGAGGGGATCCCAGCAAAGTAGTAGGCTTGGTTCCCCTCTCCTAGCCCTGCCAATCCTCCTGCTGCCCCTCCCACTTATGCACCAGCTCACCCAGAAACTTTCAACCACTACTAGGGGACAAGGTACGCTGGGGTTCTCTCAGCACTATCCCTTCCTCTCTGGGAAGCTGTGTCCTCCCAGACACGAGTGGTCCATGCCCCCTTGGGAAGGTCTCTAGGAGGGATTCCCAGGGCACTTTCTTGACACTAAAAGATGTCAAGAAAACTCTCACTGGAGAAAACCAGTTTGATGGTCCCCAGCTCTGATACAGCTGCCAGGAAGGACAGTGGCTGGCTGGTGGGCATACAGACCAAAGACCCTGAGAAGCACAGGTTGAATCCCAAATCCTCAGAAGTGTACTCTAAAGACAGCAAACAGGCCACCTTCACCTCAGGGGCATCAGGATTTCAAAACTGAGGGGGAGGTCAGGCCCAGTTAAACTGTCACAGTAGGGTCTGGGAGTAGTCATCTCCACAGAAGCAGAAAGGGACAGACAGATGCCCTGCTCTGGCCCTCAGGCTGTAGCAGCACCATACACCAACCCCACCAGCACGAGCAGAGCACAACCAAGGTGCTTCGCGCTGGGCTGAAGGTTCAAGGGAGAGTCAGAGGCCCAGAGGAGCATGGGGTGCTGGCACTGCTTTGGGGAAACAAGGGTGGGGGCCTGGAAGGGCAGGTCACAGCCCAGATCACTCCCACAAGCAGAGGCTGCCCGGGGCAGGAAGTGGCCCTCAGTTGTGGTTGCTGCTTTCCCCTTACTTACCCAGCTCTGGGTTGCACCCCGCACACCATCCTGAGGGTTTCAGGACTGCACTTTAAATTTTGCTTTTCAGGCTTCTTTGGTTTTTCTTTTTCGTTGTTGTCTGAGACAGGGTCTTGCTTTGTTGCTCAGGCTGGAGTGCAGTGGTGCAATCATGGCTCATGGCAGCCTTTAACTCCCAGACTCAAGTGATCTTTCCACCTCAGCCTCCTGAGTAACTGAGACTGTAAGTGTGTGCCACCATGCCCAGGTAATTTGGTAGAGACAGGTTGCGGGGGGGCAGGGGTGCAGAGGGCCTCACTATGTTGTCCAGGCTAGTCTCAAACTCCTGGGCTCAGGTAATCCTCCCACCTTGGCCTCCCACAGTGCTGGGATTACAGGCATCAAACCCAGCCCGGTTTATTTTTAATGAGAGGGAGGGAATCGTGGGAGTCTTAGATAAGGGCAAATCAGGTCATCTGAGTGAGGGCTGGGAAGGACCCTGCCCCATTAGAAGCCACCTCCTTCCAATTACAGCTAAAACCACAACTGGAGCTGAGTTCAGCATTGTCCTCCTCTGCATTCTCTCTTGGAATAACCCCTCCCATCCGTGAAAGGAATAAAACACTTGTCATGAGCACTGAATTT